GCTCCCTGAATTACATACCCCCCCAAGAGACCCTATAAATGTGATCAAGGGCTGTTGGCTGTGCTCAGAGGGTCCGAGTGGCCTCCCTGCCCCTCCTCCTGCTCCTCCCTCCCCTGCGGCCAGCCTGCACCAGGCAGAGGCAAGCCCTAGAGAGAAGCCCATCACCTTGCTTTATTTTCTAGAGCTTAACACCAGGTGAAGTTATATTATTGTTCTACCTGTTTGGTGTTTGTGTCTCTCCTACCAAAATATAAGCTCCAGGAGGACAGGGACTTCACCTCCAGGACCTAGACCCAGCGCCTGGCACAGAGAAGGGCTCTGGGTATTAGTTCACCGGATGAAAAACACTTACTGAACTCCTCCTGTGTTCAGCACGCGCTGCACCAAGGCGTGCGCACAAGCTAGTCAGCAATGCAGTTTCTGAGCATCTCCGCACACAGGCCCAGTATCCTCATTTCTCCCTCCTTGGCAGCTAGACCTTCCCCTCCCTGAGGACAGGAACCGTCCTCCCTCCTCCCTCCTGGAGTCTGCCCACAGGTGAGTGCGCCAGGGAGTCCCGTTCAGTCCCCGGAGGGACGCGAGCTACATCAATGGGGAGATGCCTGCAGTCTAGTTAGAGGAAAGAAACCAGCACACGCAGAAGGACTTCGCAGAGAAAAGGGGCCCGGGGTGCGCTCTGGAGGTCGAGCTCCAACTTTGCACCCAGCTCCTGCTCCTTGGCCCTGCCCTAGGGGCTCCCTAGGACCACCTGGATCCGAGAGGAGCTACTACTGCTTCCCTCTCCCCAGGTGCTGCGATCCTGGCATTCCGGACTCACAGCCCGGCAGCGCCACCTGGTGGTCGACCAGCACGGGCATCTCGGCCAGGAGCCTGGGCCCAGGTGTGAGGGCTGCTTTCCTTACTACTTGTTGGGGAAATGACACCTTTAACTGATCCCCTTACACAGGACTTTGGTTGGTTCCCTTTATTATTTCAAAAGTCCATAGTCAATAACTATTGTGGCTCAGATGGGTACTTGACTTACTGGTGTAAGGTCTGTAGATGTCTAATCACCATGTGGTACAGCTGAAACTAATACATATCATGTCCTGTGTTGATATATTATGCATGTTACAATGTTTATAATGCACAGTGTATATGTATTAATATTACACATACTATACAAGAGTATTATAAACACACAGGTAAGCAGAAGAAAAATTCCTGTATCTGCTTGCCAGGTAAAATACAGGACACCTAGTTAAATTCGGATTTCAGATAAACCACAAATAATTGCATGGGATGTGTCTTGTTCTAAAAAATTACTCACAGTTCACCTTAAATTCAAATGTAACTGGTTTTTACTTTCTAAATCTGGCAAATCTATACCTACAACCTAGATACACTCTAGTTAACATACTGAAGTATATTCACACAACTTCTTTTTTAAAAATATTTTATTTATTCATTTTTCATTTACTTTTAGAGAGAGGGAAAGGGAGGTAGAAAGAGACAGAAATATTAGTGGTCGGCTGTCTCTAGCACACCCCCAAGTGGGGACCCGGCCGGCAACCCAGGCATGTGCCCGGACTGGGAATCAAACCTGTGACCTTTTGGTTCGAAGACTGGCACAAAATCCACTGAGCCACACCAGCCAAGTACACAGCTTCTTAAAAATTATCCTGATATGTACATTTTTACCAAAAAAGAAGGAGCGGGCTCTCTAAGGTAGACTGTTTTGCAACCCAATTTTCTCCAGTTAACACCTCCCATGAACACTTACCTTTCCATGGCATCGAGTGTTCGCTTACCACCCCGTTTTCCATGTGGACACGGAGCCAGACTTCTAGACATCTGCAGGCCATCATGGTTTCCTAGTCCCCTGTGCTTCTTTGTTTTATGAGCACAAATGGCCCTGATTTCTGTCTGCTTCCCAGCACCTCCCCAGCGGCTCCCTGTCCTCTACCCTCCATTCTCGGGCCTGTAGCACAAGAAACAGGTGCGGGTCTGAATTCCGCAACGCCAGAGCGCGGCAAGCGCGATGGATCCGGCCGGGGAATCAGACTGTGGGGTCGAATGCCTTCCCCGGTGCTCCTGACGCGGTATAGCTGCAGGGCCTTGGCCGCGGCCTGGAACTGCTCAGCCGCAGCCTCCTTGACAGCAACACGGGGCTGGCGGTCTTGATGTTGTGAGGATTCCTCTTTTGCCCACTAGATGGCAACCTCTGCGTCGCCAAAAACTTCCCCGCCTGTCGCAGCTCCCTTTCGTCCTCGGAGCATAGATATGGACTCAGTGTTTGGACTTACCAGGCAAAATAAATGTTGACTAAATGACGATGCTTTCACACCAGAAGAAGGAGTGTGACTGTCCCCTTGGGGGACATCATGAGGCACCTTTAGGATCCGTTCAAAGGTAAACTAAGGCATATCAAAAGTTTAAGAGTTCATTTGAGCAAAAATCAACCCGAATTGGGTAGCCCCAAACCTGAAGGGAGTAGGAGCCCTCAGCCAAGAGAAAGACACAGGGAAGGTGCTGAAGCAGAGAAAGGAAAATACAGGCTCTGGCAGGAGACTTGCTTGAGTGTGGTTGGTAGGGCACGTGAATGTCTCACTCGAGATGGACAGCCATTTGGACATTTCACCTAGAATGTCTCACTGTGCTTGAGTGTGATCATTTTATGTAACAGAATTACATGCTTATGATTTGGGAATAAAAGCTCTGGTAAATTTAAAGGGGGCGTTATTTGTGCCGGACCCCTGTATTTAACTGACTATAGCTTCAGGCGGACACGGCTGTTGTGATTGGTCATCTTTACCATTTTGATTCTGTGACCCTGGGGCACTGGCAGGCTCGGACTGGGGCTCGCGCACATGGGCCTCCACGGCCTTACGGCCACCTCAGTCTGATGGCTCCTCGTCTAATTAACGTCCCAGATCTGACATGTGTCCCCGCCACACACTCCCGAGCAGCCAGACTGGCCCACCTACCCTCGCCCACAGAAACACAGTCCCCACACTTCCCACTCGCTCGGTGCAGCCCACAATGCCATGCTCCTTCTGCCGCAGGGAAGGCGAGTCCCCACTGTTCTGGGAGCCAGGGTGGGATGGGGGGAAGGGCGGGCTTCAGGTCACACTTGAACCCTTGCTCTGCCACTTCCTGGCTAGATGACCCTGGGTGGTTTCTTCTGGCTGTAAACCAGCAGCTTCAAACAACACGAATTTGTTCTCTTACAGTTCTGTAGGTTGGAAACACAACACGGCTCTCCCCAGGCTCAGGGCGGTGTGCTGGCTGAGCTGTGCTCTTTTCTGAAGCCTCGAGGGGAAAACCCATTTCCCCTGCAGACTGAATGTGTCCCCCCAAATTCACCTGCTTGTTGACACCTAATCCCACTGTGAAGTAGGCCCTTTGAGAGGTGATTCAGTCAGGAAGGTGGAGCTCTCATGAATGGGATTAGTGCCCTTACAGAAGAGACCTCGGAAAGTCCCTTGTCCCTTCCACCATTCGAAGACACAGGAAGGACACGGCTGTCTGAGATCCAGGAAGCAGGCCCTCGCCAGTGCCTTGATCTTGGACTTCCCAGACTTTGAACTGTGAGAACTGTTTTGTTTTGTTGGGTTTTCCTGGGGGGTCTTTCCTGGCACTTTGACAGGCCCCTGGTGCCCTGTGAGGTAATAGGAAATATCTATTGGCCTCTGCCCACGGTTCCTGGCACCTAAAACCTTTGTGATTTCCTGAGTGAGAAAGACACTGGGAGCGTCTTTTGTTCTGTATTTGTCTTTGACCCTGGTTCCTGACACACAGCTCCTAAAACCCCTGGAATTTCCTGGGTGATAGAAGTGTCTTTTGTTCTCATGAGGCCACCCTGGGTGGGCGGAGGTGCTCCTGGAAGAGGGCTGGTCACCAGAAAGACCAAAAGATGACAAGAGGCTTAGAATTTTTAGCTCCACCCCCACCCTGTAGAGAGGGGCTGGCAATGGAGTTAATCATCGGTCGCACCTGCAGGAGGAAGCTTCCGTGAACACCCCTTCCGGTTGGTGAGCTCAGGTGCAGGTAGAGTGGTGCACCCAGAGAGACCCCGAAGCTCCGAGCCCCGGTGCACACACCCTCCCTTACTCTTCTTTTCCACCTGCTTGTTTGTTCACCTGTATTTTGTGTCATATGCTTTTAAAGTAAACTGGTAAACAGCAAGTAAACTGTCTTCCTGAGTTCTATGAGCCACTCTAGCAAATTAATCAAACTGGCAGAGGGGGTCCTGGGGACCTCCAGATGGGTCAGAACCACAGGTGGACTTGTGACCGGGGCATGGGGGGTCTTGTGGGACTGAGCCTTTAACCTGTGGGACCTGACACTTTCTCCAGGCAGGTAGTGTTGGGACTGAGTTAAACTGTGGGACGTCCAGGAGTGTCAGCAGTGACGTGTCAGTAGTAAGGGAGCGACCCAGGACGGGAAGACCGGGTTTTCAAAAGCATGCCCGTACGTAGAAAGGGAAACTGAGGGACACCCCCCACCCCTGCAGCCTCCTGCAGCCCCGTCTGTTTACAACAGCCTGGGACTCTGGCTCCAGATCGCCCTCCCAGAGGGCAGGGGGGGACCCTGGGGAGGCCCTGGCTCCCAGACTGCAGCCATCTAGAATCAGCCTCTGTGGTCCTCCCGACTGGTCACATGTTCCAGGTGCTGTGAGCATCCGGACCCACTGCCTTTTAAATGCCCTGGTTCCACGAAAATCTGTTTTACTTGGAGATGTAGGCATAAAAGTCCAACCACAGGCCAAAAGGTCTTGACACCAAGGACATACAAAGTGGTAGAGAAACCAAACACACCGACATTACACCAGCACCAGAAGCAACTTCCCTATCTACGTTGGAACATTTCCAAGGAACAGAGAGAGCACAGAGACTCTTAGTGGCAACAGGACCCAGAGGTAGGGTGCAGGGGGGCTATTGTGACATGCTCCAGGGAAGGGCAGCTTTACCCTTGGCTAAGGAAGGCCCAGCCCAGAGGTGCAAGGGAGCGGGGCGGACATGGAGCCTAAGGGGCAGCCCTCCCAGGCTCCGGAGGGCGGCAAGGCCCAGCCCCAGCAGCAGGCTCCCGCCCAGACCGTGCAGGGCCACGGCCAGGTGCTGCTGCTGGGCGGGCTCTGGCAGCGGGACGAGCCGTGCCTGACCCTGCAGGACATTCTGGAGCAGGGCCCAACAAACAGGCCGGCCGGTCCTTCGTCCATCCGAGCCACAAGCGGTCACAGCAGCTCCAACAACGGCTCCAGACGGCGTCGCAAGCGCTCGGGCGACAGGTCTTCGAATGGCTCCGACTGCCCGGCCGCCAAGTCCAAACGCTCCACCCAGAAGCTGCCGGATCACAAGCTCAAGGATGAGGACCCGCGTGAGTGTGAGCCAGAGGCAGCTCGGGCTTCGCCCCGGGCCCCCGGGCCCGGGACCGCGGAGGACCCGGCGTCTGGAGGCCGGGACCCACCGCAGTCTCCGGAGCCGCCGGAGCCCGGCGCCCAGCTGCTCCTGGTCCTGTGCCGCGCGTCCGCGCTGCGCTCGCAGCTCCCGCGGCTGCAGCTGCTCCTGCAGCAGGTGCACGCCCCGCACCGCGGCCCGCCCGCCGCGCTGGTCGGGATCGTGGTGCAGCCGCGGCGGGACGAGGAGGCCGAGGCACGCCGCCTCATGGAAACCCTGCTGTGCAGCGCCTTCGCGCCGCACAGCCCCGCCGTGGAGGTGCACACGGCCGTGTTCAGCCCCAGCCGCCCCGAGGGGACCCTGGACGTCCAGCGCGCCGCCAGCGGAGCGCACAATGTCCCGGCCCGAGGCTGCGTCCACCTAGTGGATCGACAGACTCAGACGGATGGTGAGGGGCCGGAAGGCGAGGGGTGGGGGCGCCAGGCTGCCGCGGGCGTCTCCGGGGGTCGAACTTCAAATACGGAGGGAGGCCTATGCCCTGACCCTGCTGGTCACAGGGGAGGACAGGTCCCTGATGTCACGGCCCCTCTCCTCCGTTTTCACTTACACCGTCTGAGTAAAGATGAACTAGATTTCTGTCCCCAAGGGCGCTCACCGGGCAGTTTGGGGCCAAGGGTGTTCGAGTTCACTTAATTTCCCCGGAGCCCCTTGCCCCCTTGCTCACTGCTGGGAACCAGCCCTCGTAAGGCACAGATTTGGGGGTTGGCAGGCCCAGACCCTCCCCTCTTCTCCATGGCCGTTTGTTCCCTGCTTGGTTCTTCAGGCTCCGTAATCCCAAGGGAACCGTAACTCCAATCAAAGCCCAGTGTGTGCCAGGCACTGTTCTAAGGGTGTCTCTCATCCAACCCTCACCACAGCCCTCTCAGGAGGGAGACACTGTTTTAGAGCTGATGCCGGCTGATGCCCGGTTCTTCCTCACAGCCCTCGGGACCTTTCCCATCAAGGAATCTGGGTCCGTTGCCCCAGACAGTTCACGTGGGGTCTAAGGTCCAGAGCAGTAGGCTCTCAAATGAACGCGCAGTACCTTCCATCTCCGGACGCTCCGCGGCAGCGGGGGGGGAGAAGTCTGTGTGGGGCAGTCCAAAGCCAGGTGCCCAGGGGCTCTGCCACTTTTCTGCTGGTGACCAGAGCAAGTTGTCCCCTCTGGGTAGTAGCCCCCCAGACACGTAGAGGCCAAGGGCCAGCTGGCGTCTGAGGTAACACCCAGTTCTAAGATGCTAGCTTCAGGACAAATGTTGACACACTTGTTCTGGGTGCCCAGGAGGGACCCGGAGGGCCAGCCAAGTCAGGACTCTGTGCTGATGACCTAGCTTTGCATCCCCTTACACTCGTTCTGCTCACTCTCTGAAAGGGTCCACAGGACTTCCCCATGATTGCCATGCCTGATTGGGAAAGCCCTTGACTATGGGCTGTTCCAGCCGCGGTCCTCAGCCAAGGCCAGGAGACCCCAGACTGTCTTTGAAAACAACCCCTTAGCGATGCAGTCTCCGGGGTACCGTGTCCCCCTCATCCACACCCACCCTGTCTTCGATAGTTACGCACTTTCTTTGTCTGCTTTATTTTTTTTCATTTTTAAAAAAGTTTTTAAAATATATTTTATTGATTATGCTATTATAGTTGTCCCATTTCCCCCTCCATTTATCCCCCTCTGCTCTCTATCCCCCCTCCCACCCACACCCCCTCCCCTTACTTCATGTCCATGGGTCATACATATAAGTTCTTTGGCTTCTACATTTCCTATACTGTTCTTAACCTCCCCCTGTCTATTTTGTACCTACCATTTATGCTACTTATTCTCTGCACCTTCTCCCCAATACCATTCCCCTCCTCCCCCTCCCCACTGATAACCTCCATGTGATCTCCATTTCTGTGATTCTGTTCCTGTTCTAGTTGTTTGAGTAGTTCATTTTTGTTTTCGTTTTTGTTTTTAGGTTTGGTTGTTGATAGTTGTGAGTTTCTTGTCCTTCTACTATTCATATATTTGATCTTCTTTGTCTTAGATAAGTCCCTTTAACATTTCATATAATAAGGGCAGGGTGATGATGAACTCCTTTAACTTGACCTTATCAGGGAAGCACCTTATCTGCCCTTCCATTCTAAATGAAAGCTTTGTTGATAGTCATCTTGGATGTAAGTCCTTTCATGACTTTAAATACTTCCTTCCAGCCTCTTCTGCCTGCAAAGGTTTTTTTTGAGAAATCAGCTGATAGTCTAATGGGAACTCTCTTGTGGGTAACTCCTTTCCTCTTGCTGCTTTTAAGATTCTCTCCTTTTTAATCTTGGGTAATGTAATTACGATGTGCCTTGGTGTGTGCTTCCTTGGGTCCAACTTCTTTGGGACTGTCTGAGCTTCCTCGACTTCCTGGAAGTCTATTTCCTTTGCCAGATTGGGGAAGTTCTCTCTCATTATTTTTTCAAATGGGCTTTCAACTTCTCGCTCTTGCTCTTCTCCTTCTGGCATGCCTATGATTTGGATGTTGGAATGTTTAACATTGTCCTGGAAGTTCCTAAGCCTCTCCTTGTTTTTTTTTTTTAATTCCTTTTTCTTCATTCTGTTATAGTCGAATGTTTATTTCTTCCTTCTGCTCCAAACTGTTGTTTTGAGTCCCAGTTTCCCTCCCGTCACTGTTGATTCCCTGTACATTTTCCTTTATTTCACTTTTCATAGCCTTTACTTTTTCCTCTATTTTGTGACCATAACCAACTATTTCTGTGAGCATCCTGATCACCAGTATTTTGAACTATGTATCTGATTGGTTGGCTATCTTTTCATTGCTTAGTTTTATTTTTTATGGAGCTTTGATCTGTTCTTTCATTTGGGTGGGCCTTTTTTTTTTTTGCTCAGTGCACCTGTTGCATAGTAAGGGGTGGGGCCTTAGGCGTTCACCAGGGCGGGGCAACCCACAGAGTTGCGTTGTGATGCTGTATGTGGGGGAGGGGTCTGAGAAGGAACAATGGTGCTTGCTCCGTTCTCTGCCGGATTTCAGTCACTTCCCCTGCTTCCCACAATCAAAGTGGGCCCTTCTGGTGCTGATTCCTGGGTGGGCTTGTGTACATTCTAGGACCCTGTGGGTCTCTCCAACGAACTTTCCTGTGAGGCTGAGAGTTTCTCCTGCTGCCCCCTCAACCCCCACAGGTGTTTTCAGTCAGTGGTTCGAGGCTTTATTTCCCCAAGCTGGAGCTCTGGGTTACAAGGTCTTGCTCCCCAGCTGTTCCTCCCAGTTCATCTGCATGGGAATTGGGACCGCCCTCTCCGCCAGCGGCTGGCAGCCTTGCCGCCAGTCCTCTCCACCCAGCTGCCTGTCTCTGACCCTCCTACTGGTCTGAGTGAGTGTTTCTTCTTTATCTACTTGGTTGTCAGACTTCCATACAGTTTGATTTTCTGTCAGTTCTGACTGTTTTTTGTTTTTAAATTTGTTGTTTTCCTTCTTATAGTTGTGTGAGGAGGCACAGTGTATCTACCTTGTCTCCATCTTGTCTTTGTCTGCTTTCTACCCTCGCCTTCAAGCAGCTTACACTGAGCCCTTTCTCTGGACTTTTGGCTCTTCACGGTCTCCAGTCTGGGAGAGGGGACCGCAAGGGAAGACAAGGGTAGAAGCCTTTCTCGCTCTGGGCAGACTGTAATCTGGGCTCAGAGAGGGAGGCATGGCTTCCAGTTAAAGATCTGGAGAAAGGCTTTTGAGCAGATGGGTTCCCGGGAGATGGATATGGAAGGCAGAGGGGGAGGGGGTGGGATGCAGGAGGGGAGGGCTTCCACAAGTGCAGGGGAGTAAGGCGCGTTCACCAGACTTCTGGTGCTCATGGCAGGCTAGAGCCAGACATGGGCAAAATAGACCTGGGACCGTGGGCTGCGACTTCAACAGAGGAGTCAGACTTCAGGCTAGGAAACTGTGTTCCGAAGGCAGCGGGTGTGGAAGATGTTCTAGCAAAGAACTGTCCTTCTGGCCGTCCCTGTTACTCCACAAGTCCCCACCCCATCCCCACCCCCACACCTCGGGACCATTCTCACTAAAGAACCCATACGTATGTTCTCCATTGCCATAGAAAAACTCCCACTCCTCCCAGAGCCTGGCCCTCTGTGTTTCCTCCAGTGTTCTCCTAGGGAGCAGAGACCTGCTCTCTGTGCCCTGCCCTGTGTGGAATGCAATACGGAACACTCCTTTCATTAGCACCAGGACATCCACCCGTGTGCGTCTGAACCTGTATGATTCATTTCAACAGTGGTTCTCGGCCACGGGCAACTCTGTTCTCTCCTCTCTTCTCTCTCTCTTTCACACACACATTGATATTTACCAATGTCTGTAGAAATTGTTGATTTCACAACTTGGAAGGAGCCGTAGTTGCTGCTGGCATCTTGTGGGCAGAGGCCAAGGATGCTGCTCACCTTCCTACAAGGCACCGCACGGCCCACAACAAAGAATTATCTGGCCCCAAAACCAGTGTCACTGAGGGTGAGAAACCCCAACTTACACCAGGTTGCGGCCTTCAGTCAAAAGCCCACTGGTGCCTGATATCAAGTTTTGCAGAGATAAATGCTTTAGGAGGTGTGACCTGCCTGTCAAATGTGGACAGGGGTCCTGACTGGGTTCCAGTCTCTCTGATTCTAAAGTGAGTCCTGCCCTGGCTGGTGTGGCTCAGTGGATTGAGCGCTGGTCTGTTAACCAAAGGGTTGCCGTTCGATTCCCAGTCGGGGCACGTGCCTGGGTTGCAGGCCAGGTCCCCAGTAAGGGGCACTCAAGAGGCAACCACATGTTGATGTTTCCCTCCCCTTCTCCCTCCCTTCCCTTCTGTCTAAAAATAAATAAAATCTTAAAAAATAAATAAGTAAAGTGAGTCCCCCCGGGGAGCCATTGCTCTTGACTTCAGGGAGTTGCCACCTTCCTGTAGCCCCCTCTGGTCCCTGAACCTCTTCACAGCCGGGCTCAACCAAATTCAACCCAGATTTGCTGATCTGGGCTTCTTTCCACTTCTTGTCCTTCCTGCCTTCTTTCCCTTCAATCCTCTCACTCAAGGTATTTTTTTAAGTGATTAATTTTAAGGCCAATATAATTATCTGACTCCTTGTTGCCTTCTGGAGTCAGAAAAAGAGCCCTGAACAAGAATTTAGCCAATTCAATCCTGCCCCAACCCCCTCCCCACCAGCTGTGAGACTTTGAAAAAGTAGTTTAACCTTGAACCTCAGTTTCTCCTCTGCAGAAAGAGGGTCATCACAAGGTCTTTTCGGGCTCTGGAACCACTAAGGCGTTGCCTGTCATCTGACAGCTCACACCACGTCTGGGCTTGCGTGTGGATTGCTCCTCACTAGGTCTGCCCTAAACCTGACCCTGGGGAGGGAGTGGGACCCCCAGAGGCCAGGGGTTAACGATGGGATACTCACCCACCTCCTGGTGCGTCAGTGGCAGAAGTAGAGTCTTCTAATGTGAACACATTTTATGTTGGAGTCAGATGTGAGGTTTAAGGTTGTCTCTTAAAAGTGTTTTTTTTCTCTCCCAGCCTAAAAAGAAAAATCACACTGTTAATTTTGAGAAAGATTCATAGTCTAATTGACTAGGCACGTTTGGTGTTTGAAAGGTAGTCTGTTCGTGGCTGGTGCAATGAATTTGAGAAAAATGTGGTTTCCCAAAGAGCTATTATGTGGTTAGGAGGAATTCTTTTGCCAAATGCTAGCATTCTTATCCGAGTTGGAGACCCCGCCCCAGGCCCTTCCCACTGTGGGGGAGGGAAGGTTTTAGAAGAACAGGGGAGCTATTTTATGTAAAGTAATCTGGGGGAACAGTGGAGGAGAGAGGAGGCCGTGGGCTTTCCATGGACCCTCAAATCGATAGTAAAGTCACCTAAAACACAGAATGCATAGGGAAGTAGCCTTGGGGGTTTGTTTTTGGTATTTGGTTTTTGGTATGTGGAAAGCAGGAGGGAGCTGAGTGGCACACGGGGGCTGGGAACACACCAGCGAGGGGCGTGAAGGAGGCCCTCCAGTCCCAGAATCATGGGCTCCCAGTTGTCACAGGCCCCACGGCCAGGCTTGGCCCACGTCCATGAGGACTCTGGCAGCTGCCCCCTGCCCCTCCCAGTATCCAGGGAAGGGGGAGGACAGCAGGCTAGTGTCACCGGAGAGAACTTTCCCCAGGGCGCTGCCATAGGAGTCACCCTGGCTTTTATGACCTCACAGGAGGGGTGTGGGTGACCTTTCTTTGTGGCACCTGGGTCCAGCCCAAGGCCAGAGCGTTCCCCCAGGGCAGGGGCAAACGGCCCCTCCAGGAGGGAGCCGGGCAATTAGGCAGCTCCATGTAGGTCCAGGTTTAGGCCCGGAGGACCCACCATGAAGAAGGGCAAAAAGAAGAAGGCAGAGTCCAGACGCCGAGGCTCCACCTCACAGCACAGCAGTTCTGACTCTAGCCCCCCCCAGCGGCAGCCCAGCTCCAACTGCAGCCCTCAGCAGCAGCCCAGCTCGGGGTCCACACCCCAGCAGCAGCCCAGCTCGGGGTCCACCCCACAGCAGCAGCCCAGCTCGGGGTCCACACCCCAGCAGCAGCCTGTGTGCCAGGCCCTTGCAGTTCCTGAAGCCAGGCGGTCAGCTCAGGGCCTGCTGTCTCAGAACAGCGGCACAAAAGCATCCTCTGCATCCAGGAAAACAGGTGGGCAGGTTTCTAGCTCAGCAGTTCCAGCCTTTCTGCTGCTGGAGTCCCGGGGTTATTACCCCAGAAGCCGGTTTCTGTGGGGTAGTGATTCGTGGCTAACATGTATTCTGGAACCGTGCTGGTGGAGTGTGGGGGCAGTTTTTGGTTTTGTTTTTACCCAAGAGACCAATATTCCTGGGTGTTCTCATTCCTCACCAAGCTCAGTCTCACTGAAGAAGGCAGCCACGCACACTGAACGTGGCTCGGTGGGAACACTCTCGGTTAGGAACCGGGCGCCACGCAACCGCTCAGAAACAAACACCAAGGACGTGTTAGTAGAATTACATGGTTCAGGGCGGGGGCGGTGGTCATACCGCTTTATTCTGTCCTCATCCGGCTGTAAAAGATGCTTACAATCTAATTCGAAGAAGAAAGTCCAGGTTGATGGCGGACGAGGGGGGGGGGGGAGGTGCAAGAGCCATTTGGTGTCCGAGATTTGGTGGAAGGAGCTGGAGGAAATCTGTCTGTCAGGTGGAAGATGTGAGTAGACTTTTTCCATGTTGTCCTCCGATGTCTGTCTAAGGGCCCATGAACAGGGTTGCCAGTGAACACCCAATTATATATGAATTTCAGATCAACAACACATGATTTTTAAAAAATTTTAGTATAAGGGTGTCCCAAATATTGCGTGGGCATCCTGTGTTTTCAGGTGCTAAATCTGGCAACCTTACCTGTGGAAGACAGGGGCAGATTTCTCTGCTCAACATTAAAAAGTCTCCACAATTAGTTCTGTCTGACGATGGAACGGCTGTCCAGGAAAAGTGGTCCCCCATCTCTCTGGGTAGCCAGAGCCTGAACAGGCATCAGGGTGTGGAGCGGGAATTCAAGGGGAGTTCAGGAGGTGGGCAGGTTAACATCCCTACTACTGCTACTGATGGTAACAGCTAACTCACGCCTACACCCGGCATGTACTGCGCACCCAGCACCCAGCTCAGCCATCTATGTTAATTTCCTCATTTAACAGTCTTATGAAGGACAAGCCAGTATCAACATCTCCGTTTTATAGATGAGGAAAGTGAGGCCCAAATCAAACAGCTCGCTCTCAAGCAGGCACTGGCAGCACTGCAGGGAGCTGGGTAGGTTCTGACTCCAGACCCCTCGCTCTGAACCGCGGCCCTCCCCTTCTGATCCCGAGAGGCCTGAGGGTCTCCCTGGAAAGAGCACCTTCTCTGAGCTGCTCCTGGATCTGCCGGGAGCCAGTGCCCAGGGCTCCGTGGTCCTGAGCAGGCTGCGCTCCCCAGGCCACAGCCCGTCCCGCTGGGCTGGTGTGGACAATACAATCGCCGTGTCTCAGTATTTCTGTGGCTAGGAATCCATCCCTTCTTAACACCTGGAAATGGTTTCAAGTGTTACTCCACCACACATACCTCCACTCCCAATCTGCCCCAGGGAAGAGACAAAGCATGATGGCTCTTCAGGAAGGATGCCTACCCTTCTTCTGCCAAAGGCACATCCATCCTCCTTTGGAGCCACAGTGAGAGCGAATGCTGGCAGTAAGGAATGGGGGTCTTTAAAGGGGGCCACTTTCTGAAGTCCAAATCTTGTGTGTGCAGAAAGTATCGTCACTCAGGAAAGCACACGCCTTCCACTGGAATGACTACGATCTGTCATCAAAAATGGACCATGGCAAGGGTTGGCGAGGCCGTGGAGGTCCTGGAGTCTTCATGCCCTGCTAGAGGGAATGTAAAAAGGTGCGGCTGCTGCAGAAAAGTCTGGCAGTTCCTCGAAGGGCGAGCCGTGGCCTTAGCCCAGGACCCAGCAGTTCTACTCCTGGGTATATATCCAAGGAAGTGAACAATATCTGTCTGGACAAGAGCTTGTACAGGAAGGGTCACAGCAGCATTATTCACAAGAGCCAAAAAGTGAAGACAACTCCGCATCCATCAGCCAACAAACGGATCGACAGCAGGTGGTTCGGCCGTGCCACGGACCACGTTGGGCAACAGAGAGGTGACAGGCTGATGCTGCAACGTGGAGGGACCTCAGAGGCGTCGGGCAAGTGAAGGAAGCCGGTGCCCCCGAAAGCCCACACGCTGTAGGATTCCATTTCTGAACTGCCCAGAACAGGCAGATCCATTGCCAGGAACTGGGAAGATGGGGGATCGGCAGTGACGGCCATGGGTACAGAGTTGCTTGGGTGGAAAATGAAAATATTTTGGAATTAGTGATGATAATTGCACACCATTGTGAGTACACAACAAAACCACTGAATGTGGGAATTACAGGTCCATTTCAAAAAATTTAACTAAAAGCAGAACCAAGAAAGAGTCTTGCGGTTAGAATCTCTTCCTTCCACAGTCCAGGAAGAACCTCCGTCCTGGGCATATCGAAGCAGAAGGGGTGCTGAATTTGCCAAGGCTGGTCACGGGCTTCCCGGAGCCTTGGTTGGAAGAACCGACAGTTCCCTCAGGAAGCCAGGACCCAAGTAGCCCCCAGGGGAGGGAATTCTGCGCCATCTCGGAGTTCCTCCGGGACCCACTGCGCAGGAGGACAAAGGGGGATAAGTCTGGGAAGGTATTCACGGAGTGTAAACTCAAGCAGTGGGCGTCTTCAGATGAACCAGCAAACCCCACGGACACAGAGCGTGGCAGCTCCAGGTTGGGGGTCGCAGCACGGCCTCTCGGGGGTGGGCGGTGCTCTGCTGCCACCACTTCCTGTGAATTCCCGAGAGAGCACTGAATTGAGAGTTAGAAATCCTGGGCCCACGTCTTCCACCACTCGCTCTAAGGCACCTCCTCACATTCCCGAGCCTCCGTTTCTCGTCCGTAAGCTGAGAGTGACGGCGTTCCGCTTCACAGGGTTGCTCTGACAGTCGCACGAGCCGGGGGTGGTGGGCAGTGCGCAGCCGCAGACAGGTGTAAGCCGGTGCATCGTTGTTCCGATCGCCCCCAGGTAGCAGCGGTCTGTAAAGCCACCGTGTCCCACACAGTTCGTTTCTCTCTGGTGTCGTCCAGGCTCTCCCTCGCCTCCTGGCGGCAGCTGGGTCCCTCATCTCTCTCCTTTTCCGTCCACCAGGGCCTCCAACGCGGCAGGTCCCGCGCCCCTTCTGTTCCTGCACCACTTGTCCCGGCAGCTCTGCTTGCTGGCGTCGTCTGGGCCTGTGCCACAGCCGCATCTTCGATGTCCTTCTGCCTCGGGCCTGGCCGACCATGCCAGGGAGAGGAATCCCAAGCCTCCTCACCTTCTACAGGTTCTGGAGCTCGTGCAGGGCGGGGCCCTCGGGGCGGACGGTTCCCAGGGCCAGGCTCTGCCCAGGCTGGCCTGCAGCACAGTCACGTGTAACTCCCTCTGCAGACTCCTAGGCCAAGAGGAGAGCCTTTCCCCTGCACCCCAGGTGGCCACAGCCTAGGCTTTGGCACGGCCCTTTCTGAGCAGACCCGCCCCACCAGGGTCCCCCACCTGCACGGACCAGTGCTGATTTTCTTCCTTACCCCGAATTGCTTCGCCCCCGGGGGCGGTTCATTTTCCTTTTCCCCGTGGGCACCCTCCTTTCTCAGGCACACGCCTCACAGTCCTTCATAAATGCCACATCACTCGGCAGTTCAGAATCAGATGCTCTGTTTGGCTGTCGGCCTCTTTCCATGGCCACACCACATCCCAGAGCTTTGGGTTCTTGGCCTGCCTGTGAATTTCCCCTGCAATTTAGTCGCAGGTACTGATTGTAACTCACATGCCCCCTTGGTAATAGCAAGGCCTCCTCCACCCGTGAAGAGCGTCTCTGGTATTTCTCGCAGCACCCCCAGGAAACAACGCCCCCAGGCTGGTCTGTCCATGGCTGGGCGGCCCCCACCCACAGCAGCATCCACAGTATCCGCGCTTCTCTCCCTCCTCCCGGAAACCACCAGGTGGAACCTTTTCCAGGGGCGCCAGGCTATGGGCCAGGGCTGGGAGAGGGGCCTCCACCCACCCCCAGCTCCGGGCCCAAGCAGCTCTGCCTGTACTTAGGGTCTCACCAATGTCCGTAGAAGAAGCTTTCCATTTGGGAAACTCATACCCCAACCCAAGAACAGAGCCCACCCATCCCCCACCTTCCTCCTGCCCTTCTTCCCAGCCCCTCCCCCACCAGATCCCCTCTCCTGTCCATCATCAGTCACAAAGCACCACCTCTTACACCTATGGAGAGAAGCAAACCCAGGGGTGTTGGCAGAACACGCCTAGCCCTAAAAACACTCTACAGCTGGGGAAGTGGGTCAGGAAGGACCTGCCCGCCACTCATTATTGGCCGTCCTCACACACACTCAGCGTTTCTGTCCATATGGTATCAAGTTGTGCCACAGGTTCCTGGCCCTTTAAACCCAACAGGTAGGAAAACCTAATCTGCACAGGATGCTAGGTACTAGGAGGGAAACCAGAACAGGGAACTCTACCCTTAAAAGCTGTACAGTCTGTGTGGTCAGTGAAGACGTGTCCATTTAGAAACCAAGATGCGAGCCAGGGAACCCATGTCCTACAGGAGGGGTTCAAAGAGCTTCAGGAGAACAGGGTGCTCATCACTCCTGCACCAGGCCCCAGGGGGCCCGTGTCATGTCAGCCACGTCTAGAAGGATCTGAGGATCATCTGTGGCTTATGTTAAAGGGGCAGCATTCTAGACAGAGGAGGAGACAAAGGCAAGGCTCAGAACAAGGAAAGGGAGGCGGAAGGATGGCAGGGGTCCGGTCCAGCTGGGGAAGACCCACCCTGCTCAGACTTGAGCACCTGCTGCCGTAACCTGTGCCTCTCTCAGTAGAGTGGGATGTTGAAAGTACACACTCACAGTAAGTAAGGACTCCCACTACTGTAGTGCGATTTCTATCAAAGTGGATTTTGCATTTGTGGAAGCCCTGCTCCTGGTCATTGCCATGCACTGTCCTCGTCCTGTGGAGGGTGTAGCATGTCTCCTCGGAGCCTTCATTCCAGGTGGGGCTCCGCCGCAGAGCCTCCCTCTCAGGGTTGCTGAGACCTGGGGGGGACCCGGGGCGTGAGGTGTTTAGCACAGAGCCTGGCACACAGTGGCCTTGCCCACCTTTGCGACGTGGCTCCCCAAATGTCCAGGGGAGCCGGCGCCCCAGACCAGCCCATCCTCAGGCCCTGGGGGTCCTATGTGTGATAGGGTCTGATCGGAAGGGGTGGGGAGCGTTCTGCCCCCTAGAGAGGACGGTCGGTAGTGGGGACGTGGGTATTCCTGCAGTCCTGAGGGAACCCCACAATTTTCCCTTCCCCAGAGACAGGCACTAAAGCCCAGCCCCCCCAACCGGTGGTCTTTCCACTTGCTTTACAGAAGACCTGCAAGAAAGCACTCCAGTCATCGTAATTCACGTGCTCCAAGCTCTCGGGACTGCGGCTGTGGCTCTGGGGGCCCTGGGAGCCGCCTACCACATCATTGAGTCCTTGTGAACAACCCCCTGGCTCACAGTCCAGCAGGTACGCAGGCCCCCTTCGTGCCCATGGTCTTTTTTGCAGGAGTCCTCAGGCCCAGTGACTTGCCAGCCCTACATGCAGGGCTGATGGGGTGTCTGTCCCCTCTGAAGGGGGAAGTCTTTGCAGAGCGCCCCCCCCCCGCCTCTCATGGGTGGCTTGAGAATGGACTGGATCCTTCTTGGACTCAGGATGGTCTCTCTCAAGCAGCCCTGGGTGCTCTTGGACAATGCTAGATCCACCACTGGGATTGTTGGGACAGAGTTCCCCAAACCCCAGTGGCCTGGGATGGTTTCCCTAGTCAGAGACACCAGACAGCAAAGGTCAGGGCAGGCGTTCCTACCCCTCTTAGGGCCTGTCCTTGGAATTTCCTTCCTGCCTAGAAAACGTTTCCCCTCTCCCAACATTTCAAGTCCCGCCCACCCAGCCTGGCCTAGTCCTCTTTCTTCCATAAAGCCCTCCTCCCCCACGGCACCTCCAGTGCTCCCTCCCACCTGGCAGACCACTGTTTCTCCAGCCTAGGCCGCCCTGTGTTGCGGGTGGTGGTTTTGTATGTACGATGCCCCTGTGCACAACCGCGAGATCTGTGAGGGCAGGGCGCAGGCCTCCCACGGCATCGTCACACCTCCCCTGTCTTGGGCTGGGCTCCCTAGAAGCAGAGCCTCAGACAGGGATTGGAGTGCACTGGACTTACTGAGAAAAAAAGTGTCTGGAGGAGGGAAGAGAGGTCAAGGGAAGGAGCAGAGCAAAGACTAGGTTAGTTGATGTCCAGCCTCAGCCCGATGCCACGGGGGCTCTGAATTATACTATAGAATGGTCTCACCTTGAAGCAAGAGGGTTGGCTTTTTTTGTGCCCCTCTGTCATTCAGCATTGGCAATAGGACTGGGGATAGGGGGTGCCTATCTTTATGGAAAAACACTCCCATTTGGCTGAAGACAAGTCTCTGGGGTAAGGGGCACCCCTAGTCCTTAGCAGCCAACGTTCACAACTCACGGGAGCTGAACGAAGAATGCTCCGGCCCAGGAAGGGGGTCTGGGCAGACACCAAGGGCACCCACAGTCGTACCCACTGTCAAACCCACCCACAGTGAGTGCCTCGTAAGTGACAGTAGGGGAAGTGAGGAGATCACGGCAGCCTTTCAATGACCCCCAGACCACCACCAGTCACAGAGGAAGACAGGGCGTGGCCACAGGAGGGCACTCGGTGGGAGCAATTGCTCAAAGCACCTCAAAAGCCCAACCCAGAAAATAAATTCCAGTGAGGGCTCAGCACCTGCTCCAGGGCTCAGCTGCCCGACCAAGGGACAAAGAGACGGCACTCCTGGAGCTTCAGGAGATACATACACAGCTGGCGGGGGCCTCTGGTTTCTCATCTGTAAATAAGGACGATCGCAGTGCCTTCCAGTACGAGGAGAGGTTCTTGGAGGACAGAGCTGGCCAGCTCCAGAGTCTAGCTGCCGTTATCGCGTGGCGGTGGTGGGAAGGCACTGGCTTTGGAGTCAGAGCTGCTCCTGGTAGCGGGGTGTCAGGGGACACTGGGAGAGTCAGTGTCAGCTCTGAAGAGGGGGAAGTTGTGAGGAGTAGGTGAGGGGTGTGTGGGGCCTGGTTGTAAGGCCTGGGTGGCCGGTGCCAACTGGCCACGTGGAGAAAGTGTTTCGTTCTAGAGTCTCCCGACGGCAGAGCCCGCAGTGCGAGCTCAGGGTCTGGGAGCAGGCAGGCTTGGGCCTTGTCCCCCTTCAACGTTCAGTATTTCCGGGCCTGGGGCAGGTTCCAGAACCCGTGAATTGGTAGGTTTCTAAATGCTGGGAGGCATTTTAAGATTGATTTGATAAGTGGATTATGAGTTTGATTACCTGGTATAAATTCCAGGAAATCCAATTCAAAACAGTGGTGAGGAAATTATCTCACACACCAGGAGGACAGCTGGGAAGTGTCAGCGCAAGTTCAAGTCAACAGCATTGTCAGAGATGCGGAGGGATTTTTCCAGCTTTCTGTTCTGACACCCTCAGCAGAGGGCAGGCTAGTCCCTCCTGGGGGCAGATGGCTGGAGAAGTTTCCAGAATCACAGCCTCATATCATGACATCCAAAAGCAGGGAGAAGGCCACCTCTTCCTTTTGTCTCTCTCTAAGTTAAGAAACTCCTCCCAGGAGCACCCTTCCCCAGACCACCTGCTCTCTCACCGGGGTGGCATGCCCCTGAACTGGGTCTCATGCCCCTTCTTAAGGAAATTAATAGCACAGGGGTTGAACCATCATGGCTGGCGTAGATCCATCTAGATACATCTTCGCTCTCCTTCTGGCTGGGGCTGGGGTCACTTCTCTCCGGGACAAGGCTGGGCAAGGGAGCAGCCAGATTAAATGGGGCCCTGCCAGGAAATAAGTGAGAGTGGATCGGCGGGGGAGCAGCCAGCAGCGCCCTCTACAACTGGCAAGAGTGGTTTTGAAGGTGACGTGCATCTGGCCAGTGCAGGATGAACCTCAATGTGCAGACCTGTCGGCTTCACCGCCTGAGGGAGCCACTGGGCGAGTCAGTATGTGGGGGGCGGGCAGCGCCTTGTTGGAGTGCACTGAGTCATCCTGAGTTTTGTCGGCTCAGCTCTCAGGCCCTGTTAGACAGGCAGTTTGGGGTCCTTCTCAGTCCACAGTGAAAACCCACCTGATGACCGTGGCAAAGTCTACTCTGTGGGAAAAGATATTTCTAGAATTTTCTTTCCTAAAGCTTAGTGCCCCTCTCAGCATCCCACCAGTGAATAATGGGGCACCAAAAGCAAGAGGCTGCTTCCCCTCTCCTTGTGGGCACTGAATGGAACAAAACTCCCCACCACAGCCCAGCTTTTGGGGACCGATGCTCCATCTTAGCTGCTGGGTGGCGGGCAGGGTGGGGTGGGGTGCAGTGTGGGACAGAGCCAGCACTTTGCACAAGTGGGGTTCAGCCTGAAGGGAAGCCAAAGTGTCCCTGTGTCCTGTCCTGAGTTTGGAAGAAGGAAGAGTGGATGCAGAAATGGAAGACATTTGCATCCCAAATAACAACTTTTCCCACTGGACGACCTTAGCTGCTCACCTGTCACCCATGAGGTGGTAAAACCGCAGAGCCGCCCGAATTCCGGTGTCGTGAAGTACTGTGTCAGCCAATGCCTCGGTTTTATTTTTCTTACAGATCCAGTTTCCATCAGGGATCTCTCTTGTCACCAAAATAGAACAGTAACACCAAAAGAATTCTGTTTCTAGAGTGTGTTTTACCCGGAGACAGGAAAGTTGGGCTTGGCAAAGAACTTGGTAAGGGACGTAAGAGGGCGGGGGTGGCTTGGTGACTTCCTGAGCCCCAAATAAACTGGGGTGGGATCCTGCCATTCCTGTTGGAGGCCACAGACCCAAGTGAAGGCAACTTTCTCTACACACACTCACAGAACGACCTGTGTCCAATTTCCCCGTTCTAAAAGCAGAAATGATACAACTTTACAACTTCAGTCAACACCACACAACCAGTCAGCTCTGCTTCCCAGCGGGAGTTAATCCCAGTGGGTGGGGACAGGAGGAAGGTGCTGGCTCCTTTCCAGGCCCGCACCTTGCAGAGGAGAGGCCCTGTGCCCCGAACACTCGTCTCTGGGACATGGCTTCATTCAGCTGTACTTGTGATGGGGGAGGCACAGGGGCCCAGCAAGGCATGGCCTGCAGCCTGCGGTCTGCGGTCTGTGGTCTGTCCTGGTGACCTAGCTGCACCTGGCCAGGGCCCAGTTCCTGAGCAGCTGAGGCAGGGTCTTACTTAGTTCAAGGTGATCCCAGAACACAGGATAGGGAAGAGATGTGAGAAACATAAGAGGAAGGATAGTCACAGTGGCCACTGAGAGCCACTGAAACCTAATTCTGCTGGGGCGATTTTAAGAAGCAGAACACAGGGCTCAGAACAATTCCAAGAGGGCTGATTTACATACCCAGCCTGTCAGTGGTTAAAGGCTGCTGGGAGGCGGGTGGTTAATTCCCCTGCACTTCTGGCCACCCTAGAAAGGAAGACTGCAGGCATAGACAGGCAATGCTGCATGCTGGAGGTCCAGAGCGCCTAAGGCAGCTGTAAAGGCCAGGGGATATGAATGGGGGCGGGCAACCCTGAACTCAGGGAAGGGAGTGCACAGAGCCCATGCGACCTATTGCGCCTCTAAACGCTGTTCAGCCTAAGAACCAGCGGGACGACCCTTGGGGAGGCAGGAAGCCACAGCGCAGGTGTGATTGGGCAGGTGGGCCAGGCCAGGTACCAAGAACCCAGAGCCCACCACCACCTCCCAATCCCAGGATTTCCTTTCCTAACAGGTGCTAGTAGATTGGGAGAGGGTGCCCCTGGAGTGACCGGAACCCCTTCTGCGATGCCAGCCTCCCAGAGAAAAATAGTGACTTCTAGAGTGGGGAAGGAGTGGGGTCACTTTCCGTCCTGTCCTGCAGGTCTGGATGGAAGGGCCCATGGCTGCTGCCTCTGGCCAGTCTCGCTCTCACTGAAGATACTTAGCTCCTTTTCCTGGCACGTTAATTAGGGCTGGGTGGGTCCGTGGATGGAAAATTATTACGAGGGAACATGGTGGTCTGGGCGGGGGTCCTGGCTTAAGCAACTTGACAGGACCCTTAATTAAGCAGATCAGGGTGAGGGGTGAGGAATGTGGTCAGATACCAAGGGTGGTCAGACACCACAGGCAGAGGACTCTGGCTAGGCTGACCCAGCGGGATTCCCACTGAAGTGGGACTAAACAGGCCAAGGACAGAGACTAAGGTCAAGGCGAAGGGGAGCCAGGTAGGTCAAAGAGAGAATCTTTCTCGGTTTATTCATGAAATTTGCCATAAGGAAGTTTTTTTGAGTCCTCCAGTGGCTCTCCATCTCAGAGCAAAAGCTGGGTCCCTACCAGGCTCCCTCCCTCTCTAACTGTATTTGCTGTGCAGCCGGCCTGCTCCACTCCAGCTAGAGAGACCCCTCTGCTGTTTCCGGCCAGTGCCAGATGCCCTCCTGTTGTGAGCATCTGTTTGCAATATAGTCTTTCCTCTAAGTCAACAGGGCAACTGCTCAGCTGGCCGCCTGCTGAGCAGCCCGGCGCCAAGGAGGAGACCAGAGCCACACACGGTAACTGTGCTGTTCACTCAGCTTTTATTGAATGCAGGGTCACTCAGAGTAGACCATCAACGTACATCACTATCCTCTTCACACGCTAACAATCTAAGAGGAATGCAACACACACAGAGCAATCAGTGGGGGATAATGAACCTGAATCCCAGGGTCTCGGTCTGCAGGTCTGAGAGCACAGTGGGCACAGGAGTTGTCGGCATCTTTCAAGGAAGAATCTCTGGAGCCAGGTGGGCAGTGGGCAGATGAAGTGCTCAGTCCAGCAGGGCAGAGGCTCCGGCGAGAATGCCAAGGGAGATCAGCATGGCGTGGAGCAGCGCTCGGGTGTGGAGTTCAGCTATCTCAGCCCTGGTCTGGAGCCTGCCTCAGTTATACCCTTAAGAGTAGTGTGCTCCACCCTTCTAGGTCTCTTAATTGGTATCTTGGCACCCCTGATGGCAAGTGGGGAATTTCCCCAGGAGCCTATCCATGGGTGGTCCCACTCTGCAGACATGGCTGTTCTGGTCACATGTGCAGATATCTTAGTGTGTCTCCTTGCCAGGTGTGTCTGCTCTGACTTAGGTAGTTTTCTTCTTGAACCAAAGTGTGATGGCTGAGTGGCAGCCCTCTTGACTGACATGAGTGACTCTTGTGTTTTATATACTTTATGCCATCCTGAGCAGACCAATGCCATTTTATTGGTCCTGCTCTCTACACCTCCCCACTAGGCCTCTGGGCTGGCCAGGGCTGCACCTGGCGCTCTTCCCCACTTCACACATGGCTGCCTTAAGCTGATGGAATTTGAGGCACTGCAGGTACAGGATGGACTCTGTGCCCTTCCCATGTGAGAGGCACCCCCGCCCCCGCCCCACCAGCATCCAGAAGAAAGGAGTGTCCTAATGTCCTACCACATTTCCTCACAACTTCCCAATCATCATCAAACTAGCGTCAAAATGCTCAGGTTTAACAGCTTCTTTAGGTCATCAGTTTCTTTATGAAGGCTCCCATGTCCCATAAAGGTTATTTCAAATAAGTTTGCATGATTTTTCTCGTATTAATCTTTTATTATAGAAGCCCCAGTTATTATAGAAGCTCCTTCCACTTAGAAGGGTGGAAGGAAAAGTTGCTCTTTCTCCCCTGCATTGGCCTTCAACTCTTGGTCGAAATGTCCTTAATGACGTTCACCCTGACCACCCTGCTTCAACTGCACACCCCACACACTTCTCTCCCCCATGGCCCTTGATACCTGCTACGTGCTCTAAAGTTTACTTACTGCTTATGGTGAGTATTCACGTCCCATCTCCCTCCTCTAGCCTGTAAGCTCTACCGGCCAGGGATCTCTTGAACGTATTGTTCACTCAAACATCGCCGACTCCTAGTACAGCACCGGCAGCTAGAGCAAAGTCAGTAATACTTTGCTTGGCTTGGAAAAAAGGAAGAGAGGGACAGAAGGAGAGAAGGAGGGAGGGAAGAAAAGACAGAAAGAAGAAAGTGTGGGGTGTAGTGTAAGATTTCTCAAGGGGAAGGAGGCCACGTAAGGAGGTATTTTGTTCTACTAGGTGGTTGTCCATTTCATTACCTTATTTGGTTACTTAATTTCAAAACTCAAGGGTAAGTTCTTGGTCTAGTATATAGGCTGGTCTTAGAGCAAACTCACCTGAAATGATGGCCCATGCATGCGACTGCCTCCCAGGGGCACCCCGAAGTTACCCATCCGGATGCTCAGCTCTGGCCCCAGTACACACATAGAGAACTGGCAGTGAGGACTGTGCTGCAGCCCCCATGGGCCCCCACTGAAGTGAGAAGGGATGGACAAGGGGTCTGCACGTGGGGCTGAACCCCACAGAAAAAGCAAACAGCCAGGCTTCACCCCTGCCGACGCTGCCGTGGGCTCCAAAGGAGTTCGGGGCAGGCCTCCCCAAGATGGGCCACTTGGGCATGTGCGTTCTTCTGAGCTGAAGGCTAACAGACCCTGCGGGTTCACAAGAAACATTTCCTTCTCCCTTAATGAACTTAAATTTGGGACCTTGTCCACAATCACAGTTATTACCAGAGATAACTTTTTATAGGCTTTTTATAAAGCAAAGCGAACTTCTAATTACTGGACATCCGCTCTTCTTATTGTCCTTTGAATGACCTTTCTGCCGTCTGACTCTCCAGGTGCCTGACCTCACCCCTTGCTCAGCTACATACTTCACTTCCCCTTTCTGTCTCTGAGCCTCCCAGGTCGGTGGGGTCTCTGATTCTCATGTATGTGGGCTTCCCAAACGTATAAATGTAGTTAAATTTGGTCATTTTCCCTTGTGAATCTGCCTCAGGTCTATTTGATTATTAGACCTGAAGAACCTAGAAGAGTGGAGGAAGCTTCTCCCTCCCCCACCGTACTCAGCCCCTTCCCATGAGACCACATCCTGGAGGCAAGAGGAGGCTGCAGGGCGTGGAACGGTGGCCTTGGTGTTGGGAATCAGGATGCGTGTTTACCTCATGCAAACCAGCTCCCTGGAAACCTGCCCGAGAGACTCCACACACACATCCCAGAATCCTCCCTGCTCTTGGCAAGCGTGCCTTCTCCCACCCCCTCAGCCACAGCTGCGGGGGCGTGGGGGGGCCCGGAATGCAGTGTGTGTCCTTTCCCTCACTACTCCCGTACTATTCACGCGGAGCAGCACACACAGAAAGACTCATTCACAGGCTCCATCGCTAGGCCCTCTATTGAAAGCTTTCTGAAAAAATGCAAATTCCTCTGAAGTGGATTCTTGTCAAACGCTCTAAAGTTGCACATGCCCACTGAGAGCAGTTAAGCAGACCAAGACTTCCCTGGGCTGGAGCCTCCTTAAAAATAATGTTTACATTTAAAGGAGAAACTCTGAACTAGCCAGAAAGCAGGACTTGCAGCTGTGAAGTCAGGCTTGACAACCTTGAGGTGGGTACGCAGTTTCTAGGGCCTCACTTCCTGGGGAGTGTGCCCGTGGGAACCCCCACATTTTTGCTGTCTGGCCCTCACCCCAATCTTGGCCTTGCCCTCTTCTGTCTTTCATTCAGTACGGCCCTGAGCTGGTGCTTACGTTAGTCCTGGCTGCCAGGGGCCTCGACAAGACAGAGGTGTTGCCCACCAGACCCTCAAATCCAGTAACATGCGCAAGCCGCTCCAGGAGCCAAGTGCCCCCCCTGCCGGCCCCGCTCTCCAACGGCCCTGGTCTGCCTGCTCCCTTCACCCCATAGGACCAGGAGGTTCTAGTCTCAGTCCCTCCCCAGAGAAGTAGACTCCCTTCAGGATAACTCATTCATAAACATTGGGCATTTTAAGCCTTGTCTCCACACACCCCTTCCCACACGGCCCCCAGCCCCCACCTTGGCTGTTCAGGCCCTTTCCACTTTGCTTCAGCTGGGTTTCCTGGGGTGCCCCTCCCTCCCTCAGGTGGCAGATAAGATTCCAGCTGAGATTACTGAAGACAGGATTC